CAGGCAATTCGACATAATATATGTTTTGTCATATTTACAAGTCACCTGGTGTACGTAAGTCACATGATCATTCTTTAATCTACTATAACCTCCAAGAAACACCTCATACGTGGCCGCTCTCAAGTATAAGGGGCTTTTCTTGCCATTAATGCTTGAATAACTCCATATTTACATGTCTGCAGCGCATTACGGCTCCAAAAGGGCCACCGGAGCTGATCAGGGCCCTTCTAGTCAATGCTTGTGTTTATAGCAGCTGCGCCGCAGCACGTTTCAGAAGCGGCTTTCCAAGCTGCTTCGCTAAAGATACACATCTACGACTCTTTTGATTAAAAAAAAGATGGTTGCGATATAGGCCCTGTCCCAAATGGCACACTTCATGTGCACTTGCGGTCTTACAATGGCCGCCGCGTGTTAATGTCCGTTAAATCCACGAGAACGTAGATGTCCCATTCGTCATTTGAGCTTTCAGAAGGGTGCTCATGAGCGCCCCCTTTGCGGCTGGTATGTACCCTTGATGCGCACTTCTGCCAAGACTGCACTGAGGCGAGCTCCGCAGCAGACTTCTGACAGTCAAAGCGGCATTACGTCACGAAAGTGTGGGCTCACGAGGGTTTAGCATGCAATTTGGGACAGGGCCATAGTAAACCTACCAAGATCCGTCGCCATGACTTATTGCGAGAGGAAAAAATGTACATTGTAGTCGCATAACATCAGTTAAAGGAAACACCGTCATATTGCAATAGTTTTTTATCGACGTTATAAAATATCGCAAAAGTTTTGCTCAAATCTGTTAGGGAAACACAGCTTAGTGAACTACTTTGTTTTTGGCATTGTTTACATTCAGTGCCGCCAATATGGCCGACTTCCAGATTGATGATGTGTTGTGAAAACACCCTATATGCTAACCAAAGTGCCAGGGTGTTAGCATATTATAACATCACTGTATGTGGAACATTCATAATCTAAAAACATAATCCAACAAAAAGGGCTGGAGTTGTACTACAAATGCTGAAGTCCACTTTATCATCGCGAAATCGCTAAACCATTTGCGATGTGACTCATCGAGTGAAATATTATCACCTAAATCGAGCTGTTTGGCCAGTAAACTGAGGTGTGAAGTCGCTGGGTGTGACCGTTCCCCCTCCCTCACAAACTCAATGCCGGTGTTGTGCCAAATTCTGCACCCATGCCAGATTATGCACCCCCTCGTTGAAGTCGCTACTTGATTGGCTAATCCCAACCCCTCCCCCACACCTACTCCTAAACCTACCAATACTAGGGGGTGCATAATCTGGCAGGGTGCAAATTTCGGCACTACACCGGCCACTGACAGGACAGATTTCCCGTCTGTCTCTCCAAACTGTTGTCCTTATTTGGCTTCGGTGAGAGTGTGTGGTTCTGTGAATAGAGAACAGAGAATTTCCTCCTGACTGTGACTCACTGCTGCTCTGACTCACGCTCATGCTAACAAAAACACTGCGTCGCCATGGAGACGGTTTCAGTGGCAGCAGCTGCCCTTCACTGACAAAAGGTAAAGCGCTGGAATCGGATAGTACTTCAAAGAATACTGTGGTATTGCTATTACTATAAACTCGTTTGAGCGCTAAATTTAAGATTACAACCGCAGGAATATATGCAGACTTCCCGTAACGCTAGTACGTAGGCTATTCTGCCAATCGCGTGTCGGCAAAACAGATTAATTATGCTATATTTTGCACATATTTTTGTGGTTTAGCTACATGCAGGAACAACGAGTCCTCATCTTTCGTAATTCATCTTTTTGACCAGATTTCTGATCGTTTATTTAAGGATCATGCCCAGCCTTCAACTGTTTTGAAAATGTTTTCTTCAGTTATGTTTTTTCAAAAGGAATATTATTTAATTAATCTGCTACTTCTGAATTAAAAACTTAAATTTAGTATGTATAAATGTAAATTATTGGGGAAATAAGCCTTTATTTGTTCATTTTAAAGTCAGAAGTTCAACAAAAAAAGAAAAAATTAAACCTTTGTATTAATTTATTTCTCTTAACGTACCCCAGCTGTATTTGTAAACCTTTAAAACGAATTATATATATATATATATATACGTTCCAGCAGCAATGTCAAGAGTAACTTCATGAGGCTGTAATGTCAGCACCAACCTGACGCCTGAAGCAATGTTTGCAGCAGCTTGTTGAATCCAGGTAAACCAGGTAATCTTTCCATACACAAAATGTCCATGCTGCATACTTTGGATATAGTTTTAGCATTGCAGTGTCCACTAACAATTCAAGCTATTTTTGGGGCAAAAGAGGATCTAATAAACAGTTTGTAATTAAGAGTGCAGCGGCTCAAGAAAGTATTTAAACACTTGATTATGTATGAATATTACTGCATTCATTTCTAAAAGAATATGAATATTATTTTGATTAAAAACATGCTCATTTGAAAATGTCAAAGAAATTATTTTAATTGTTTAATTAAAATACTGACTATATTTTATTTATAATTCAAATAAAATATTTGAATTGAACGTTTCTTAAATATGTTTTAGATATTTATAATTATACTCAGTTATATTATTTAAATTAATTAAATTGTAAAAGAAACTTAAGCAAAACATTTAAATTAAAATAATAATAGATTATTAATAATTAAAAACTGAAATAATAGGTACAAAATTATGTGAATAATATATTTAAATGGACATATGTATATGTATACACAAATATTAAGTAAATTTTGTGGTTGTAAAGTGTTAGTGGATTATGTCTATAGTTAATGTGATGATCAACACCTGTGGTTACGTTTGAAAACCTGAGGTCTTCATAAAAACCACCCAAACACCAGCTAAAAGACATTAAAAGACACTGAGCAAAAATGAGGAAGAAACGTGAAGTTAGTGAAGAGAGCATTTGGGCACAGATACAGACGCTTCATCTAATGCAATATCAGACATTTTTACACTAAATACACTTTGGATTTAGTTATTTTATAGTGTATGCATCCAAACACATTATGAAGGTTTCTTATAAAGATTTATTTTTTTTTGCTGCTTAAACATGTTGCTGTGTTGCATTACACTGCTAGACAAGCATGACAGTAAACTGCTTTTTTTATGGTTCTCGCCGCAGGTCCCTCAGTTTACCCAGACTTTACAACTTTTCGCACCGTCCTGGGATCCTTAAAGTGTTTTCAGAGATTATGAGGGATTTATTTTGATTAGCAAAAGACATACAAACCCTGTCAAGCGCATGCACTGATTCGTAATGTGCTAGCTGGTCGTCTTTTTATTGCATGTTAAATTTAAAAAGAACAAAAAGGATTATTGTTCACAAACTCCTTTTATAAAGGCTAAATCGGGTAATTCCAGTGGTCTAGTTTTTTATCAGACTGTCTGCACAGTCCACTATGAGATCAGTTATTTTTATTTTCACTGTAGCATGTCTTATATGATTATGTTGCTCAGGTTTCTAAAGCGTGTCCTCAGTGCAAACAGACACTCCTGTCTCTAATATAAAGACCGAAAGAGCCGCTCACATATCATTTATGGCTCATAGGGTGTCATCGGGTTGTGGCTGGACACGTTTGCTCGTGCCAGTGTCTCACAATAAGTGAACGTCTAGGAGCTGTGTGAAAAAGTTTGCAAGTGGGGTTTGTATGACATATGGAGAGAAAACTGCAGGCTTTGCATGGAACGAGCCACATAGACATAAAAACGGGAAAAAAGAGCAAAAAATGACTGTAACATAATTGACAAAGTTCAAGATTTGAGTGAATCACTGTGGTTTATATTATTAGTGGTGTTATACAAGCATCACTATTAATATTGCTCATACTTGTGGTTAGGAAATTAAACTAACTCGGAGTATTTGTGCTACATTAATGATTCCTCAAATCATGTGTCTTGTTGAGATGAGATGTGTTATTATTTGTCAGAGTGATTTGACTTACAATTTCCACCTGGCCGATGATAAAACGGGTGAAAATAAATCCCATCGCATGCACTGATGGACATATACGTAAGGAGCAGAATATTCTGGAGACTTGGAGATGGGCTCTTTTGATTTATGCCAGCAAGGAACCACCTAGCAGCCCAACACAACACCCTAGCAACCGCGATGCAACACAACAAAAAGTCAGAACACCTTAGCAACGGAAAAGCATCAGGGCAGCAATCTTGCCATGGACAAGCAGCACTCGATCCAGAGTACAGTTCAGTCAGCTCTCGCAACATCTAAAAAACACATCTAGAAAAAAATCTAAGCGGATCAGACAGAAAAAATACACTTTATATTTCTGACATAACTATTGTTTTTTTTGTAGGAGCTCCAGGTATAGATCAGAATATAGATAAGGAATATAAATGTCTAAATATACTGTATATTAGTAAATATAACTACAACCCTTTACTTCACATAGAAATATATATAATAAATATATAATAGAATATTTAATATTAAAAAAATATAAATTATTTTTAATAAAACCATGCCAACTACACATTAGAATTAGCATTTCATTTAGTAATATTACCAGCGTCAGGACTAATTTACGGTCCAGAACACATTTTTATGTGGAAGATGGTATATTCCGAAAAATTAGTTATGAACTGATAAATTTAGGCTGATATTTGAGCATTTTGTGATTATTGGCTCATCTGCTTTGTCAGTTAAACTTTACAAAATCCACCAATGACAATAAACACTATTTTATATCAGTAAAATCTGAATAAAAATGTGTAAAAATACTGTGTAAATTAAATATAAAATTTTGAACATCATATTTGCTGCGGTCATTACACACACACACACACGCACACACACACACATAATTAATCATATAATAATGACAGCAATTTAAATTCTTATTATATTGAATATTTAATAACATATATTTTTATTGAATCATTTATTATCAAATTTATACTGACCAGCCTATAGTATAATTTGATTTATCGTTTATTAAATATGACAAAACATTTGCGTAGCTTTACAACAAATATTTCAGAACATAAATACCAAACTACTAAACAAACTAAAGTGCTCAGTGACACTTTCTGCTGATGAATGCATTTAAATTAACACAACAATCTCATTCAGAATGTGATTGTGACACTTTATTGAAAAAATTAATACTAATACGAATATTTCTGATGGGAAATGATTTCCCATTACTGCTCATTGCTGGCATAGGGGAGCAACAGAAAAGGAAAAGAAAAAAAACTAGCCTACTTGACTACATTAATACTAAATTTCAAACATGGAACATATCATGAATTATTAAGATGAATAATAGTAATGCTGATGCTATATATCACAATATGTGTGCAGTAAATGCATATAGTGCTCTCTCAAAAGCTTTCATGATTGTCCGCGTTACCAAAATCCAAACGAATAATGGTGGCAATGTTATATCCAGAATCAGCCGTGACAGAGACCGCCTTCAGAGATGAGTTTGAGGGTCACTGTCATAAATCCATTATGCACAAAGTTCAGTGACTCTCACAGCATCAAACTGTTTCAAACGTCAGTTCCTCAAACTCATGCCTCTATAGATAAGGTATGCGTTACTTTTTATTGTTTTACAAGGTTTGTTTCGCTTCCTAAACCGATTCGGCTTTGCATGATTGTGACTTCTTGCATGCCATCTGTCTGTCGGTATCCACATCCCAGAATGCACCAGTAGTGAATATACTGTAAATACAGCAGTGACTCTTTGTGGCGTATCTTGCAACTTTGCACTTGTTCGATGCAGAAGTTTCGCTTCTCTTGCAGTCAACCGCGCTGTAAGAAAGTAGCACGTGTTATGATGCTCCCTCTGGTGGTTCAACATGTTCTACTGTATTCCTTCTTCCTTCATAATGAAGCCCACAAGTGCATAAACAGTGTTCTCTAGTGTTGAAGAAGTGCAATTCCTTTGCAGATTCCCCTTTCTGGGTCACTCCAGTTTTTTCTTCCTTTTTAAAGTAATTCCAAGAAAGTTGATATCCAACAGTGATACGTCCCTTCAAAACAATCGAAACTCATCAGCTGATCAGGTTGATTATAGGTTGTGTCTTTGGCAAAAGAACAATTCTTATTCTACCGATGACTCACATAAAACATGAACGACATAAAACGAGTTTCATTAATTTGGTCCTTCTAAATCCAATAACATGATTTTGTTCTGCAGAAGCACAGTCTGCACGCTGTTCTGTATAATAGTCTCATTTGGCTTTTGTATTCCATTTTGTACGGTTATTGTTAACGTGCTATATTGAAGTGGCCGAATAAACAGCATGAACACAAAATCATGTAGAAAACCTTCTTTACGAGCAGCTTGATCATCAATTTTTGACTTTCTTAGCCATTCATAAGACAGAAATCCTATTGTGTAACTCGCATCATCCCCTCTGGGTGTGTTGTTCAACTTCTTATGTTTCAAGTTTTCATTTTCTACAAAAATAGGTGCCTCTTTTCCATCAAAAGCAGTCAGGTGTCCAGGGCTTTGAATGCAACACACGTGGGGGGCGCGTCTCTGGGAAGGAGATTCAGAAATTGCTAAAAATCTCATGCTTCTTGTTCCAGTCCATCTGGGGCGCTCTCTTTCTGGTGCGCTTGGCGTGGGCTTTCTCTTTAGCCTCCGCCGCCGTGGGGCTCAGACACAGACCTATTTCTTCAAACGGGTCGAGAAGATGGCTGCTGCTCTCCCTCGAGAACTACAATATATATATATATATATAT